TAGTTTTTTTTTTTTTTTTTTTTTTCATCGTCAGTCACAATACAGTGCTGTAATACAGTTTTCTCCTTAGAGCTTGTTGGGTTATTGCTTTTGCCCTTAAACTAAGTGGCTCCAAATTACTGCGATTATTAAGCTCCTGTGTCTGTTTTTTAGTCTTGGTTGCTTCCCACGTGGACGTCTTGGTATTGTAAATGTGTCTGACTGTAGCGGTAGGCACATTTACAACACCTCCCTTCTGATTTACTCCTCTGATAGACTGGAAGACCTGATGCTATGATTGTTAGACAAACAGCTGAACTGATTCTAAGAAAAGAGCTCTTATGTGAAAGTATCTGCTCTTTCTTGCGTGGACTCTTGTTACATCAGTTTGGCTACCAGAGCCTTTCTTCCTGTTCCTCGAAATGTTATGGCCAGTTGAAAACTGAAAGATAGATGAACTTAATCCAGATAGATGACACATGTTTTCTAGTCTATTCCATTGTTTTATTGTCACTTTCTCTAAGATCTAGATTTATCAACAGTATTTGTAGTGTTTTAAACATAGTTCAGAACTGAGCTTTCAAAATTCACTTTTAACATGTATATTATACTCAGAAGTGGCTGTAATTTTATCATGTTTACAAACTGTTAAGCAGGACCATGAAAGACTATCTCAGCGTCGCTCCCATCTTCATGTTTTCATGCACCTTTCCGATCCTTTCCGTTGGTCTCTGACTCTTACTTCTTCTCTGTGTTCTTGTTTTCCAGATCAAGTCCAGAGCAAGGCCTGTAACAATCCTGGTTTCTACATTTACTTAAGTGAACTTTGCTAAAGGATAAAAATTTCTGATACAAGAGCCCATCACCAAAACTTTAAGTGTGGGGTAGACACAAACGCACCTTACTTGGTACAGCTTACTGTCTCCACCGGTGTGGCACTTCTGCCTATGACTTGTAGATTCTTTTTTATATCTGTGTGTTCATGTTTTGACACCCTGTCTTAGAATTGTGATCTTGCGTGTGCCTCTTCTTCCTTATTCCCTCAGCATTCCTTTTAGCTGAATTGATGTAAAGAGATCTTAATTTGCATTTCCTTTTAGGGTGCCTCTGCCATTCCAGAGGATAGCTTAGGGATAGATAGCCAGTGCTCATTTGAACTTAGTTCCATCCCTTTTCTGAGATAGAAACTGCCACCTGATGTGCTTTGCACTGGAAGACAGGTTGTGCTGAAGATGAGGCTGTGAATAGATTTCTACCCCTGCTCCGCCCAAGAGTTTGTCCACCCTCCCCACCACCAATTTTCTTCCCTACTTTGCTGGTTCATTTCCCGAGTTCCTATCCGTGCTGTGCTCCATTCTGTTCTCATGTAGGTTTGGTTTTTTTTTGGGGGGAGGGGGGGCAGGATCTTCTTGTATGGGTTCTATTTAATCATAAATTAGAACTACAAGGGCTTAGTTTCTAGCTCAGGTAGGAAGGAGATAGTAACCTATGGGGCCACCGAGGAACCTTCCCTTCTGACAGGAACAGGTCACACTGACTGGATTGTTTAATCTGATACTGCTGCCTGTGAAACTGGTTTTGGCACCTGGTTTTGCATTAAATTGAAGGGTGTTTGTTTTTTAATTTCATGAAGTCACTGAGCAATAGCATTTGAATGCCCCAGTGATAGTCAGTGAACTAGAACTTTCTGGGTCATGACATGGCTTTGCCAAGTCAGTTGGCTGCTGGAAACTGAGGAGACAAGTGAGTCCATGACAGCAGTCAGGCTTCCAACTCCAAACACAGACTCCTGTGTCTGGCCCAGACCCTCCCTCCCCCAGAGCCTCAAGGCTTTACATGGACTAGTAATGTTTTAGAAATGCATTTAGCATGAAGTTGTCAAATGGGGATAGATTTGGCCTACTACTCACAGAGTAGTGTTGGGTAGATATGGAAATTCCAAGGAACTGAATTTTAAATTAGTTGGTTTGTGGGTTTGAAATTAAGTTAAAGGGTTTAGTTTTTTAAATAAGAATCATAGATTCTTTTGAACACTGTTTTTACCACAGCAATTTAATTTCCTGTTCTCATTACGTAGCAATAAACATGATATAGCTATAAAAGTAAAGAACATTTAAAAAGAATTTTTTGAAATATTTTTTATCTTGTTATTCTTTTTAAATTTTCATTCATTCAATTAATAATTATTGAGCCTCCTATATGTCATTCATATGTATATGTGGGGTTTGAAGCTATGTGTCTAGCAGTATTTTTTATTGTGCATTTCATAATCCTAAATAAGTAGCTCATGTCTCTGTGAATGAGATCTATTTTATAAATGGGGAACCCAGAGAGCCAGAAGTTGAACCTTGTAGGCATACCAGTAGTAGGGCTAGCTTTTGAGAATTTAGTTTTCCTTGCAGTCTGTGGACTCTAGGTTGTTTGTACAATTAAGAAAATAATGTTAAGGGTTCTGGTTCAAAAACATTTACTTGGTTTTTCAATCTAATTTTATTTGTTAATTAAAGAATTGTAATCTGTGAAGGGGGAGGACAGAAAGTCAGTAATTACAGAATTGTTTCTTTTCCAAAATCCCTTTTCCTTTCAGGAGTTGCATAATTTATATTTGTGTTCCTTGTTTTAGAAAGAGTGGTCTTACTGAAAAGCACCATGTTGTTTTTCTAGGGAAGGATCTGTCATCTCGGAGCAAAACAGATCTTGACTGCATTTTTGGGAAAAGACAGAGTAAGAAGACTCCTGAGGTATCAAGCCACAGACAGTTGATGTGTTCTGTTTCAGCACTGTATGACTTCCAGCTTTGCACAGCACCCTTTATACCTATCACTAGTAGTATATTTTAGGCAAAGGTATCCAAAAACAAAACAAAGAAAACATATGTAGAGGCTTCATGCAAAGGCTAAATGTGATCCTTTTTAATAATAGTAATAGTTGGTAGACAGTAGTTTTATAGGGAGTCTAAAAAAGATTTGTGCTACCTGTGTTTTCTTTTCTTGGTTAAAAAAAAGGACTAGATTAAACTTGGGAAAGAATACCCATTGCTGATATATTCAAAGGGGAAAATGTGTCTTCCGTAACCGAGAGAGGGGGAGGTGACACGTGGGGATTTTGTTTTGTTTTGTTCAGACTGCATCGCTGCATCTGGAGGGTGGGCTGGTGAGGAAGAGTGTCATATGCATACTCTAAGGTCAGTCCGCTCCATCTCATAAGCGTTGTGAGACAGCACTGGGTCAGTATCATCTGGGAGGGATTCAGATGGGCACCTCCTCCATTGTGCAGTGTTGCTCGTTTCAAAACTAGGAGACAAAACTAGGATGAGCCTGTAACTCTTTTCATCCTCTTCATTAGGTTGTGCTGTACAGTATTACACAGTTTGTGTGCCATTCCCAAGTGTAAGAGACAGCCCTGGATGTAGTTTGGAAATCAAAATATTAGAATTTTTGAACTGTAGATATCTGAAGGTAAGGGGATAAAATATTTAAATTTGGTATTGTCTAAGAAAAGCTGGAATATATGGCTGCTACAGTGATTATTTAGCAGATCTGGTATGTTGTACTTATGATCCTTTATTGGTTCTTAGCCACGGACCTTGGTGACTGTAGAACAAAAAAGACTTGCTTCAGTTATTCTGGCATTTTTCCAGACTGACAGATCTTTTTTCCAGGGTGGTATATATATGTGTTGCTTAATATTATTTGTAGAGATTTAAGAATTACCTATGATTAGAAATTTTGTTTGGCAATTTCCTTTGTAGGTTGGGTCTCAATTCCTAGGTCTTTTAGCCCTTTTCTGCCCCTGCAACTTTAGAAGGGTGAGGAAGGAGGAAGCGGGCCCCATAAAGGAGACCCGGCTTCCAGTGGCTTCCAGTGGCTTGCTGAGGAGTGGGTGGTGCCTGTGCAGTCTGTGCTGAGTTATGTTAAAAGCAGCATGTCTTTAGGTAGGAGGTGTTCTGACATCAGGCTGTTGAAAGAGCTGTCTTCTGTCACACTTCTGCCCCTCTGTGGTTATGGTCGCCCAGGATTAGGCTGCACTCCCTTGTTGATTGAGGACTTTGCACCTGGCTTATCTCCGCCCTCTCCTCCAACCCCTTTCTTCTGACTGTGCTCCGTGATTTCAGTGTCCTCAAGAAGAACCCAGCTTTACATCCCCTTTCTCTCTTGTACACCACCCTGCCAGCTCCTTCTGTTGTTATGCTGTATCTTTGATCAGCCCATCCCTGCTCCCTGGGTGACAACCTCCTCTCTCTTCTAGTTCTCTGTTTCATGCTCCACGGCACCAGATTTTCCAAACCTTGTTTTGGATTACTTGACCCTCCCTTCTCTCCCTGCTGCCACCCCACCACCTTCAACCCTGTTCTTCAGCACCCACTTTGAAACGTTGCAGGTGAACACAGCAGAGAAGAAAATATTTTGGGGGGGGGGGGCTTTTGGTGGAACTTTAAAAGAATTTGTGTGGTAAGTGTAGAAAGCTTTTTGTTGTAGATTAGTGGTTTCTAATCCTCTTAGACTTTTATTTGAAGATTTACCGGTATTGGGTGCCATGAGGTTTTTCAACACTCTTCAGTGTTGCTTGACTTTCTGGCAGTGTAGCCACTGGTAATCACGTTAAAGTGAGAAGTTTGCCTGTGTCTGAGGAAGAGTTTCAGCAACAATTCCCTTGTGCTAGCCCAGGGAAAATCTACTTTGGTCCAGTTGGTATAGAGATGATCAGCCTTGAAATAAAACCATGTTCTGTGCAAGATTTCCATCTAATGTTTTCTTCTGATGGTGCATGTGAGTCCTAACTGTTGGTGAGGCAGTTTTCTAGCAGGTGCGGCTCTTGGTCTGCAGCTGTGGTTCTCAACAGCAGTTGCCCCCAGGTTGCCTAAGGAGCTTTAAATAAATGCTAATGCCAGGCTCCCACCCCAGACCAATTAGATCCAAATCTTGGGTTAGAGTCCAGGCATCAGTATTAAAAAAAGAAGAAAAATGTTTTAATTAAAAAAAAGGGTCTCCCCAGTGATTATTCTAATGTGTGGTAAGGAGTAAGGGTAAAGAACACTGGTGGGAGCCCTGATATGCAACTACATTGGGACAGTTTCTGGCTTTAGTGTCACAAATATTGCTGAGGACAGGGCTTCTCAGATCTTAACATGTACGTAAATCATGTGGGAGCTTGTTAAACTGCAGATTCCAGTTCTTGGGGTGTTGGCTGGGGCCTGAGAATGTGCATGTCTGAGTTCCCAGGTGTGTACAGAGGCTGCTGGTCTATGCACACTCTGAGGAGCAGGGCCTGTGCAGTATTGTACATTAGACATATACCTACATGGGTATAGGAAGTAGAATCTATTTAAATCTAATTACATTTAAGGTACCAAATAAAAGATTTTTCTGTAAAGCAGAGTTGCTTCTAAATTTATCTTTGGCGGACATGTGGATTTCCGTATATTGAATTTGCTCTCATTCAGGTACACTTATTCCTTCCTGGATGAACTGTTGCTAAGAAACCTTACCATGTTAGTTATAACAGCCCTTGTAGCCGAGGGCAAGGCCCTTGATCATATCTGAACACCCTCTTTTGGCTCCTGTTCTGTTGGAAGGAACATTGCTTTGCTTTTTCTCCCTTGACCCCATAGCAGCACTGGCAAAGGCCAAGGTGCTCCTGGAGGTCAGACACTGTAAGAGTTGCAGAAGTCACGGTAGTATAGAAAGTTAACACAGGGCTCCCTCTCTGGGTGCTTTGGGGAAGATGCTGACCCTGATCTGTCTTTGGTTTCGAGGGTTACAGAACCTGGGCAGTGACTACATTGCTGGCCTGGGCACTATCGTCTGTCTCACGTTAAGGCAAGCCTGCTAATTTTAATTTCTGCAGCCCCTGACTGTTGTCATGGAAACTGCACTTTTATTGAATGTGTGCCAAGCCCTGTATTAGACACAATACCATCTCATGCAATACTTATAACAGTCCTATGAGGCAGGCGTTAGTGTCTCCTTCTCAGCAGTAAGGAAACTGGGGCCCAGAGAGAATTATTAGAAAGCTCCAAAGAAGCACAAGTGGGATTTAAATCCAGGTTTCTCCAGCTCCAGAATCGGTGTTCTTTCCCCATACCCCATTACCACCACCGTTAATGAACTTTTTTGCATTTTTTAAGAAAATATTTACATTTAACTGAATATGCTTTCACAGTTTTCTTTGAGCTGTGTCAAAGATGCCTGTGGTAAATATTTTATCATAATTTTATGGGAAAGTGGCTATTGTTCTCATTTTGTGGAAAATAATGGTTTAAATTTCAGAACTCCAGTGCTTTGCCTTCAGTCGGAGGTGAGCTATTGCAGGTTCAGAAGCATGTGACCAGATGCCTGGGCCAGCCTTAGGAAGGGCGCTGTGTCCTTGTGGGAGCTGGAGGCTGTATGAAGAAGGAGTTAGATCAAGTTTCTGGAACACAGATGCTATGTTACTTGTGTATCTTCTGGCCTCTCGAATTTATATTTATATCCAAAAAACATCTGCAGCCCTTAATTAATGGTCATGAGGGCTTTTTTTTAACTTTCTATTTTTATAATTATAGATTCACAGGAAGTTGCAAAGATAGTACAGAGGGGCTCCATGCACCCTTTGCCCTGTTTTCCTCAGTGGTTATATCTTACATAACTATAGTGCCAGGCGAAACCTGGAAATTGGTATCAGTACAGTCTGTGTGTGTAGTTCTGTGCCCCTTTATCACATGGGTGGATTCTGTCACCGCTGTCTCAGTTAAGACACTGAACTGTTCCATCACCACAAAGATCTCCCTCATGCCACCCCCAGTGATAGTCGCACACCCCTTCCACCACCGTCCCTAGCCCCCAGCAGCTACTGCTACTAACAGAGTTGTCTGATTAGAAATAGAGTATCGCAGGTGTGGACCGCTTGATCTCACAGTTTGTGCTGAGTCTGCTCAGATGGGCAGTGGGCAGTACCTGGGTATTATGGGCTGACTGTAGTGCTCATGACCTACCTCCTGCACTTACTCATGCTAGAGTCTATGTCTTTTATCATACAGGACTCTAGGCAGAAGTCAAGCTGGTTGATGTCTTTAAAGTCCAAGCCTGTCAACTAAGTCACTTCAGTAGTTTCAGAAGTATGTTACACTGTAAAGTGATAAGAAATACAGAGTGGTGTCATCATCACATGATAGTTTGTTGTCTGGAACATGTTGGTATTGGAGAGCTCCTTGGGCAGTATCTCAGGGAACACCCATAGCGAGGTTGGTGACCTCTTTTAAATTGCGTGCAAAGTTTGTGTGTGGGTACTCATTTATGTATGGATAGATAAAGTTCAGAACTTTCATCAGACTTTCAAAGGAGTCCTTAATCTACAAAGAAGCTTTAAAATCGATGAATGTGCATAAAAAAATGTCTTCCCCATCCAAAAAAAAAGTCGCTTAAAATGTAAATGTTTTGTGTAAGCATGCTAGGGGTGAGTTTTGTATTCTGTGGTGGAACAAACTATGCCAAGCCAAGAATCTGATCTCATAATTAATTTGAATGTAATATATATGTATATAAGTAAAATTACATTAAAACAGAACAGTAGCACTGCAAGCTAGCCACAAGATGCTCAGGACACTTTTGTGAGATCTCAGTCATGCCTCTGTCCTCTCTCTGACCTTCAATCATCTGATGAAGACATGACCCTGTATTTTACACATGGACTTCTGCATCTGCCACCAGACAGTGAACAATGTAGAGAGAATTTGTACTGTCCTCACTTCTGGGTCCTGGCA